CACACACACACACACACACACACACACACACACACACACACACACACACACCTGCTGAACCCAAACTGTTTTCTGAGTTTGTTTGTAGGAAATATCTCATGAACCGGTGGATGGGTTTTACCGAAACACTATAACAGTTATTGGATTAACGTCTACAAATAATTAACTTTTGAAGTCGGTCTAATTTAAACTGCCATTTTTGTTTATTAAAATGACTAAAACCCTGCTCCAGAGATAGAAACCCCTTCAGTGTTCAGGTGTGGACAGACTGAACTTTTGAAAACAATGATGTCATAGTTCAACTCCTGCCTAACATACAACCTTAAAGTAGAYRWATGATGCTTTTAAACCCTTCTTTTTCACATTTAAATCCTTCAGTTGGGGTCTGTATRTAGTGGAACTGCAATGCTTTGGTCAGAATTCCTCCTTATTGCAACTCCTCAAGCCCCGCCCCTTTTCTGAGGTGTTTCAGATCAACTCGTTTTGAAGCTGTCTCTTTAAATTATCTGAAAATCATGGATTTTTGAGGATTATGATGCAGATAARACTTCATTATGTATGTGTACTGGTGCCAGTGGAACCACCACTGGACCAAAGCAGAAAAACTAATGAGTGGTAGATTTCTTTAGGTGCAGATCACCTCAGAAAGAAACACTCAGAGTCAGACCCTCTCTGCACCTCATATAATCAGATTTTAAAACTTGGTCATAGTCGAACATTAACCTATTCTACACTTTCCCTCCAAAAAACAACTTTGTTTTTCTCTGAACAGAAAGTGAATGARAATTCGTTACAGAGATTAAACGGATATCTGGAAAACCTTCAGAGGCCGGGCTCTAAGTCTGTCCGGCCGATGACGTTGACCTTTTTTGTCCGAGAAACAAAAGACAACAGTGACGTTCAACCGGACGCGCTGACTTCAGGTACACCTGGTTTTCACATGAACCCTTTGAACGAGTCAGACTCTGATTAAAGCGTGGTTCTTGTTTAGCAGGTTTTCGATCCGTGAGTTTCACCCTACAAACTCAGGATGTCCTGAGCACGGTGATCAATGTGCTGGCCTCCTGCAGCCTGCCTGTGGAGCACATGAAGGGACTCGCGGGGAGTTCTTCCACGTCTAAGAGCTCACCTGAGGCTGGACTGTTTTTCTACAGACCTATTAAATGGGACAAAAGCTACTACAGCTTCACAGGCTTCAGAGACCCCGAGGAGGAGCTGCAGCAGGCCAGGACAGTAGAGCCCACACTCAGGTTAGTCTAGTCCTTAGCTCTGGGTCAGGACTTCTCTACCAACAAAGGCAGTCACAGGACCGCAGGTCAGGTGACACCATTATAAAATGGATCATCCACTTTTGGCCTGGTACCACGTAGACTTATGGGCTGCCCTGTTCTCCAGCATGGTGTTTGTTGGCAGCTGTAGAGTAGGAAAGAGTCCAGCATCTCACCATATCCCATCAGATAGTTCAGAGCTTCACTTTTAATGTTTTACCTAAAAGGGTACAACATTTCAAACTAAGAATCAGTTTAAAACTCTAATATTTGACAGCTGATGGTGTATCTCTGTAACTTCTCTCCACCTTCAGAAGAACTAAAATAAACTGTAACTTATGAGCTTCTCTGTTTAAACAAATGGTGAATGTTTTGAAACCCTGTGGGGAAGTTTTTGTTCATCTCAGTGTGACGTCTTGTGGTTTTTAAATTTGACAGTACATGGCTGAAAAAGAACGAGGCTGAAGCTACAAAGCAGCACGGCGCCAGCCTTCCACGAAGAGAAGAGCTGAACCGGCTGAAGAAGGAACTGTGTGAAAACTTTCATCTGGAAGATATCAGGTTTGTTGTTTTGACACTGATGAAGTGTCGGCTCTTTAATAATCAGAACAGTCAGAGTTGGAAATGTAGTCATCAAAACTTTGTTCTTTTAATGTGGGGGTTAAAAGATGTGATGAAAAATATGATCAAGGTTATTTACATTAGAACTGGAGGCCAAACTGAACGTTTGACAGAAGTTTAGTAAATATTTGCACAAATTAAATGTGTTAGTAAGAGAGACTGATTCAACAGCCTCAGCACCAGTGTGCTGTAACATGGATGTTACTTGATTGAAAAAACAGTGACAAACTAAACAAATCGTGACATTTAAAAGCGTAGAGGTTTTAATGTACCACCTGCTGATAACTATTTTACAGAACATCACTTCAGAAATGACCAGAAAGGCTGCAAAGCTTGTTTTTGGGTTGTTCAGTTCCAAGAATCAAAACCTTCATCTTGTCAGAGTTTAAAAGTTTAGTGTATGCTTGTAAGTSACYGGTTGGATTCATCAGGATTCATGGATAAATATAACTGAGCATCATCAGCATAACAATGAACATTTATCCYATGCTGTTTGATAACTTTACCTAATGGAAGCAAATATAAAGTAAAGAGGACTGGTCCAAGCACTGAACCCTGAGGAACTCCATGACTAACTCTGGTGTAAGAAGATTCATTAACAAACTGGAATCTGTCAATTAAATAAGACTTAAACCATTTTAGAGCCGTGTAATCCCAATATCCTGGACACTAGCAGGACAAGTGTGGACAGAAGTCTGGTCTGTGATGAGCTCTGAATCTCCTCAGACATTAGTCATGTTTACAGGGGTCAGGTTTGGATTTAATCTGGTTAATGTTGTTTGTTTTTTATTTGTTTGTGTGGTGCAGGTGGCAGCGCAGCTGGGGAGTGACTCATAAATGCTGCCAGCTTCAGAGTCTCAGCCGATTGTCCTACCAGAACCCTGAAGCCCTCATCAACCTGCAAGGTACTGGTTCTGAGTTTATCTAGAAACCTGTGAGCTCAGTCTGTGCTGTAAACAACCAGGCAGCTGTTTGAATCCATTTTATTAACTTTTTGTCTTCATTGTGTTTGTTTGGTTTTACTTGGTCTCCAGAAATAATTTCTCTAAGGGAACAAAAATATTATTTTCATCTGTTTATGAAACAGCACGGCTGGTTTAAATGCTACTTTACTCAAGAAAGAATCAAACATTTGTTATTAGAAACACAAAGCTAAGAGGAAAGAAGAAAAAGAAAAGAGCCTCATTCTCATCATCATCATGTTGTTCTGAATGTAGGGTTATCAGACTGTGAACTGAAGCTTGGGTTTATTCTGTTATTATTTGAATGACTTGTTGAATTTTACCTCCTTTATTGGAACAAAGGAGATCTGATGAGTCAGCTTCTTTGTTAGCAAAATATCTTATGAACCAGTGGAGGGATGTTATTGGAACTCAAAAAGTAATCAGGATGTGCATTTAGCCCTGATAAATGTTTGGAGTCGATCCAACTCCAGATTGTTGTCAGAACCATCTGATCCTATAAAACACAGAATGACTTTAATTATACACAAAGTGGTGGTAGAGGAGCAGCATCCCTAACACATACACTTGTCCCYGCAGGACACACGGTTGTGTTTGCTGACCAGTCAGGGATGAACGCCTCTGGACACGTCCTGCTGGGAAGTATGGACGTTCATCACCAGTGGGCCAAAGTAACGAAGCTGCAGTCCTCCTCTCCTCCAGGTCTCCCCTTCAGTCCCGTCTCTGATCCGTCCTCTTCCTGTGTCTCCAGCTGTTTGAGCAGCTGCCGAGCTACCGCAGCCTCCAGCAGCAGACGGACCAGCTGAAAGAAAGGATCAGCTACCTTCTGGGGGGAACTCAAGTGGTCCACGTGGAGAGGCTGGGCCTGGTCCAGTCTATCACCGAGCACTACAGCACGGTCAGCACCTTCCACAAGAGCCTGAGGAGCTGGCAGCTGCGCCTGCACCCTCGCAGCCTGCACGGCCTCACCATGGTGCTGGAGAAGTATGCTAAACACACACACACACCTTCATCATACTGTTCTTATTCACCTAAAACAGTCCAGAATTAACCCCCAGGGGTCGGATTTATAAAACTGGCGTACGCACATGAGCCCAGAAAGTTGCGTACGCCACTTTGTACGCCAAGGTTGTGGTTTATAAAATCCAAACTTGACATGAAAATGTGCGGTGCCTCACGCCAGCTTTGACCCATGTGTACACTCATTTTGGAGACGTGAAACTGTGACACAGATGGTGAAGTGAGGAATTAGAGCCACATTGTGTAATGATCACTGTCAGATATTTAATTTAATTTCATAATCAGACTCAGATTATTTATTTATTCAGCTTTCTTAACAGTAGGCTAATATTTATGCTTCTGCTGCTGAGCCATAAGGACCTTTGAAATAAAAAAACTTAAATCTTAAATAAAAGTTCCCACGCTCAACTCCATTCATCTGCTTCCTCCTCGTGACCCTGACCCACACAGACCCCTCCCCGACAAGAGAAACTTCAACAGCACGACAGCAAAAGTCACACTTTGTATACACGCGCAGGGCGCACCCACCCTCACCAGTGTGGATGTTATAAAACTTCATGTTTTAAAGTCTGTGTTTGTCATGCAGGGTGGGGGGGGTGGGGGTCTGCCGCAGATAACAGAGCAGGCAGGAGGGGGAGAGGATGGGGAGAAGAGCGGTGAACTTATTTCTAATTTTATCTGACTTATTTAATTTTATTTTTATTGTTTTTATCATCCTGCAGGCTCTGAGAGAAAATTAATTTGAAGCTGAGTTTTTAATAAAATCATTAGATTACTCTAAAGCAAAATGAGGGAAAATCTGTCAATTTCAGACAATCTGTTCACGTGAGCAGCTGTCAGTCAGCACCTGTCAACCTCCAGACGCACGACAGAGCGTGTCTGAACCAATCACTTTTGTTAACACTGATCAGGTGACTGATTTAAATACATCTTAACATTCATGAGGTACTTTACATTGACTGTTTATGGTTGAGTGTGGGCGTGTAGAGGGTAGAACCTGAGGCGGGACCTCGTGCRCAAACTGACGTGCGGCTGTGATCTAAAAAGGAAAGATGCACAGAAACGTGTACGCACKGTTTTATAAATGTGAATTTTTTTTGGCCGGACGTTCAGTTTTAGTATGGTTTCCACGCAATCTTTTATAAATCTGACCCCTGGACCTGAAGGAAAACAACATGTCAGTTGTACAGATGTTGTTGCTGGTGTCCCCCCCACAGGGACCGCTCCACACCCCGTCTTCATGAGATGGGACACTTCATCATCCCCACCAGCTGTGACCCTGCCAAGCTYCAGCTCTTCCTCCAGAACCACGCCTCCGAGGCCCGGCAGAGAATCCTACAGACCAGTCGGTGAGTAATCGCAGCTGGTTCTGATTCCGGACCTGGAGCCTCATGTACACCGTGGTTCAGTATAACATCCGCACCAGTTCTTGTACATGAGGCCCTGGGTCCATACTGGTTCCAGGAAGGCTGGATTATTCTTACTTACAKGTTCCTTTGTGGTTCTGGTGGGTCATGGACTCAGTCAGGTTCTGATCCAGTTGTGTTCAGGCTGCAGGTGGAGGAGGACGCTGTGGTCCAGTCTTGCCTCCAGTCCCTGTCTCTGAGGAGCCTGTCCAAAGAACCCAGTGTGAGCTCCAGTCAGATGATCCRGTGCTGCCAGAGGCTGCTGGAGCAGCGCCCCCCACTCCTGCAGGGCCTCCACATCTGCGTGTCTCACTTCTACTCTGTCCTGCAGGACGGGGACCTGTGTGTCCCTTGGAACTGGAAGATCTGAACCACGGGTACTGGATGTCACAAGACCGCACTGAGTTGGCACAAAGACGCACTTTATCCTCTGATTATTAGAGTCGCARGAAAGATGTGGAGGAAGAGAAGAGTAAAAGTTGTTTTTAAACTCGGGAGTTGGTTCTGGAAGAGGTCTGGACCTCCCTGATCAAACTGCTGAACCAAAGAAGATGGATAACACTGAAAAATGTTTGAATACCGATCACAGACGTGGTTCAGCACAAAGTCAGGAATCAGTGTTTATTTTTATGGAAGTCAGTTTGGTTTAGTCAGAAACGTCAGTTTATTGTGGTCCAGACTGAGCTGAATGTAAGTGACTTCATTCAAAACGAATTTAATCAGGACTCTAGGAACACTACAGAGTCCAGAACAAACTGTATGGTCTTGTCATCAGTAACAGGTCCAACACTTTGTAACACTGCAGACTGAAGAGGTTAACATGTTTAATGATTGTTGGAAACTCACAACGGWGGAAAACAAGTTTTAATTTCAGTCTCTTGAATTCTGTTGGTACCAATGGACCAACCACTTCYACAATGGTTGTTTTGCATTTTAAAACTTAATGCCATACTTTTATAAGTTCAAAATGTGGTATAATCTCAAAAAACAAACAAACAAAATTAAACTTTCAACTGTAATATTGTGTAAAAACACACATTAAAGTATTGGTTCTGACTGAGACACTTTTWAAAACAGCTGGGTTCTGCTGCTCTTTATTTACCTCACCAGCCCTGTTAAGGGGTTCAGCATTCATTCAGAATTATGTTAAACTGTTATTTAATTCTTTAGTCATTTTATAACTTGTCATAGAATATTTATTTCATCTGATTTGATCAGCAGTGATTCAGTGAAGGAACTTTGTCAAACTCGCTGCCCAGGTTGAAGAGCATCATGGCTCGAGCTGCTGTCACTGCTGGGGTAATACAGTGGCGTCTCTTGCATATAAATATATATAAATATAACCGCTTGCATATAAATAAAAATGAAGGCGACATATTTCAGACAGTAAATAAAATTTATTTTCACTTTAGAGAATGCTCATTGGTTAGACAAAYGAACAGCAGCTGTTGTCTTCAAATGTTTAACAAGAACAAGACAGGAAGCTGTAGAGGCTCACTTCCTTTGAACTGCTGTGAAGGACGAGGGCACCTGGATGGGCTGCACCGGGTGGAACGACARGGGAGGGTTTTTACGGGATTCAGAGGAAATCATGTGGACTGTTGTGGGCAGGAGCTGGTTCCGTTTGATGATCTGGAGGGCGAGCTGAGTGTTTCCTGAAGAGACACGAAGGAAAACATGAAACAAATCCATCCCACCTGACACCAGGTACGTTTATGATCACATTCAGACCTAAGGAAACACCAAGTSCCACAAGGCTGTGAGCCTTTAAAAATGAAGCAACCATTGCAGAACTAAATGAGGACTTGACTCAGCTGGTTGACGTGGAGCCTGACAAATTACAGCCTGCTTTAGACTTCACAAGACRTCTGACGTCACGCTGTGTTTACAGAAGGAAATGTGGATGCTACATGTTAGCACGTTCAGAAGTTGTTCAATCAGAACCACTAAATGATTGTTTGGTCYAATGTTTACATTTGATGCTAATGAGCAACCAGCTAACCAACATGTTAGCTAGTATGAATTAGTCTGAGGYGGCTGTGGCAGGGGAGTGGTTAGGGAAGTCCTGGGACCATTGGTCGATCCTCCATTTCATCTGTCTCTGTTGTTGAAACTGACCTTGTGGCTCACATGACCTTGAGATGACCAACTGAACTGAAAACAGAACCTGTCTCTCTGGATAAACACAACACGATACGGCACTTAGATGTTGTACAAAGAGCTGACCGTTCTGGAGCTCCAGGTAAACCCCCAGCAGGATGGCTTCAGGAGGAATTTCCTTGGTGTTCACCATCGATGCAGCCTGAAGACAGAAACACAGAGCCAAGAGTGAAAACTGAGGGTCTTGGTGTTCACTTCCTGTGTAAGTGTCAGATCTGAGCCGACAAACCAAGAACATTTGAGAAGTACTGAAGAAAGAAATTGTTTTCTTATTTCACTTCTGTTTGGAAATTTTAATGTTTTATTAGTCATAACTTGTTTTACTGTATGTTTTAATGCCCATATTGTGTTTGTGTTTATTTTACTTTTGCTCACATTTTGTCACACTTCAGTCACCATTTTATTAATACTGAGTGATTTTTGTAAATATTTTTAATTAAATTCATTTTTTTATTGCAAAATGCAGATTGGAGAAGAGACAAGCTCCATCAGATTAGCAGGAAGTGTTTCAGTAGCTTCCAGCTGCAGCAGTGTTACAGGTATGATGGTTACCTGATGCAGACACTTTCGAGCTTTGTCAAACTCGCTCCTCAGGCAGTAGGCGCTGCCCAGGTTGAAGAGCATCATGGCTCGAGCTGCTGTCACACTGCTGGGGTAACACAGCGGCGTCTTCTTCCCTGCTGCAAACACAGGAAGACATTTTAGACTCMAACACTCGCCTCTCGCCGGTTGAATTTAAAACAAGGGCAAAGACTCACAGGCCTCCGCCGGCTCGTCTCCCTTCTCTGGTCCTGTAAACACAAACAAACGTTCAGGAAAACAAAGCAAAACTGATCTTGTTTAATGAAGAGGAAAAACCCACAGACCCTGGTCCTGTTCACTGGGGGGCAGTCCCACTGACACGTCACTGACGTTCTCTGGGTTTAAGTGAGTGATGGCGTCAGATATCCTGTCCAATGAGATGAGAGCTTCAGCAGCATACAGGTGGCCCAGGAACCTGAATAYAGAGAGATGACAGATCAGATGAACRTAAAGAGGAAAACTTATTATCTGTTCTTTGGATGAACCTGGAGCAAAACAAAACTCCAACACAGGTCCACACATTTTATTTTACAGAAACCAAAGAAACCACACCAAAATGTCAAAAACTAAACAATTTGGCTTCGTAAAAAATATCTTCAAAATATAAATACATCTATAACAAATATTTTTTAACCAACAGACAAACAGAAAACTAAATCAAACAGAACCATCTATAAGATTTTATTTATTAAACTGATAAGAACAGATACTACACTTGATCTTAGCCAAAAGGCCGAGAAGTGCTTACAAGATTATATTTATAAGATTAAAAACAAATAAATCTGAATTTGCTCTTAAGTCTGATCAGTCAAAATGAATAAATACATTCAGACACTGACCAACACTGAATCCATCAGGCAGGAATCGTCTAAATGACCTTCAGGTCTGTGGGACCAGTTTTAATCTGCAGAACATCAAACAGAAGCAGCTCTTACTTGAAGGATCCGGACACTTTGGTCTGATGCAGGAGCTTCTCAGTGTGATTCAGAGCCATCAGGTTGTCTCCCAGAGCCAGAGCCACGTAGGCGCTGCAGGCCAGGATGGAGCACCTGCACATCAGGCACACACACACACAGACACACACAGCTCTGTAACAGGATCCAACAAACAGAAAACTGTGAGGGAAAAAGTGTCAATCACTACCTGAGGTTTTCTACATCCTGCTTTCTGAGAGGAGACGACGGAGCTGCAGAGAAAAACTTATCAGCTTCCTGACTTTTTCCACTGAAAAACACACAACCACACACATCAGTGCACAAACACCTACAACTGAGCTCCAAAATCCAACTTTATAAGCAAATCTAAAAACATTTGTATTAATCACATTTGTATTAATCACAAACATAAGTTTTTCTGAGTGGTTTGTGTTGTTATCAGTCTATGAGGTGAACCAGCAGGCTCGTTTTTATCAGATGGACTGAGTAGAGGACCTGGGTTCTGGAGCATCAAACTCAAACTTATGAAAAAAACCTGGGTGTGAGCGTAGCCTTAAAAACCAAACTATGTTTGTATCAGAAATATATTGCAGAGTTTTTCACACAGCCTTCAGGTAAGAACAGTATAAAAAACAACATTTTGTTCTGGCTTTTGGTTTTGGTGCCATCCCGACATTAACAAATGGGTTAAAGCAAAAAAAAAATCTTCTGACTGATATATTTTTCCAATTTATCACAAACAATGATTTTAGAGCATCATTTTACTTTTATATTGTTTGTTCCTGATTTAGTTTTACTTGTAACAGAACATGTCATTGTGCCAAGCAATGATGAGCCTCAACTGCATGTTTAAAACTAAGAACATTAAAAACTTTACCCAGTAAACGGGTAAAATAACCACCAACAGTGAATTTAGGAGGCATTTCTTTGCCTGATTTAATGACAGGTCCACTCATAACAAACTGACATGAGATCATACAGCCTTCAGAACATAAACTAACTCTGTGCCAAACATTAGTGACATAAAGAAAATAACTTGTCAGTTTTGTCAGTTTGTATTATGAAAAACCGATACATGGATGTTTGAAACTGGTTAGAGCACTAATGATGGATGGACAGATTTATTTATTGACCTTTATTTAACCAGACAAATCCCAATTATTTATTTAAAAATTATAGCAAATAACTGTTGCACAGAACAAAATAACTTGAAAATACATTTTTTATTAGTTAGACTGATTTATTTTTTAAAATTACTATTTTTTTAAACAGTTAAAAATTTCAAGCTCATGTAAACATTTAAYGTGGTTTATTCTACAAATTTGATCATTTAGTGAATTACATTTATCACAGAGCAGTTCTATAACAGTATGGTTCTAAATATAAACAAGCAGTGAAGAATGAAACTGATAAACCACAGAAACATTTGAAACATGCATGGTCCTGTTCTCCTGGTGAGGATGAGCAGGTAAACGTTAAACGGATTCATCTTTGCTTTAATATGGGACAAACAAATGTTCATCAGTGAATCTGACTCACAGCGTGCAGGTGCTGCAACAACCAACAGGTCTTGGCTCGGTTCGTACTTTGGTACTCCCGCATAACGCGCRCATCCTCACCAGCGATGGAGGGGTTTATATTTGGAGCTTATGTTATTGTAGTAAAACAGGACATGTGGCAGAACAYTTTATAACTTGTGAAATGTTGTAGGATAGGAGAGCAAAAGCATGATGGACGAACAAACTGGATGTCGCACGCAGCCTTTACACGAGCAGTTTGGTCACACGCAAAGTTGGACATATCTGTTGGATAACGGCGCTCTGAGCACAAATATTTAATATAAAGTTAATTTTTATAGACAAAAGTCCAAGGAGAGAAATGAGTGAGGAGAGGTTTCATTTACTCAGGACTGACCTGCTGCTTTACTGACCCGCCCCGCTCCGCTCTGATTGGATAAAAGTGCTCTGGGGTTTGTTTTATTTGTTGAAAGTAGTGGTGCGTTTAGGGGTAGACTGGGCAGCTTTAGCAAGACCCCAACAGAAAACAACCAGAGTTGTTTTTTTCCCCCCTCCCTTACAGATGACAGAAATCCGTCCTGGCCACGTTCAAAGTGATGGAAATCAGTCATGGAGACAGAGAACTTCAAGACGCCCATCTGGACAGACCTCCTGCAGGCGCTCGTGTCCTCACACAGATGTTTACCTGTAATAAAAACTGAGAAGAGGCAAAACTGACCTGCACACGTCACTGTTCTCACTGCCGCTCTCGGTGCTTCCCGACTGACTGGAGCTTTTRGAACCGTTCTCAGCCTTGGTTTCCTGCTGCTGGTGTTCCGGCAGCAACAACAGAGCGTTCCTCAGGCAGATGGCTGCAAACTCCATACTGGCTACAGGAATGGCTGCTGACTGTCCGTCACTACACAGAGAAAAGCCACAGAGACCTCCATCATCCTCTGAGCACAGGTCAGAAACCAGCTGCTGGCTTCCATGTTTACAGGGATAATGTGAAAAACTTCCTGCAGAAATGCAGTGTGAATGCTTCACGCTGAAAGAGTTTTGCTGAAAATTTAAAAATAGCAAAACTGTTATGATTTACAGCCGACTTCTGCTGAAAGTAACAGAATAGAAAGAAGCCAAGAAAGGGTAAAAAAAATCTGAAAACAGCAACAACAAAAGAAAACTGCCAAAATTAGCAAAAAGATGCTTGAAGTTAAAACAGGAGGAGAAATTACAGAAAAATTTCAAATATGCAAAAATCATGAAAAGTACGAAAAACTTGCAAATTGTTTTGAGACAGCTAAAAGTTTAAAATGAGCCTAATAACAGCTTAAAAAGTAGTTGCAATTAGCATAAAGAAACAGAAAGAGTGTGTTTGCTGATTTAAGTAGTAAGAAACTGAAATCATCACACAAAMGGTGAATTTAGCTGAAAAAAGCTCAAATTAACTGAAATTAACTAAAAAGTAATTAACACAGAAAACAGCTTAAATTAGAAGAAAGAAGCTCAAAAAGTTTAGATTAAGATGAATTCACACACTAACGTGCCAAACAGAAACCATGTCCATCTGATCTAGAACATGTAGCTTCAGTTTACAGGAAGCTACACTCAAAAACAGATGTAGGGATTTAAAAAACAAAAAAATCAACTGAAATGAGTAAAGGTAACACATTTACATTTAAAGTAAATGTGTTACCTTTACTCAGTTCAGTTGAGTGGAACCAGTTGGCATAATTTTTTTTTTTTATTAAATCCATCATATCTGTTGTTTGAGTGTAGCTTCTACCTCCTGATGTTCTGTTTACACGATGACAGAACAAACTAAACTCAAAGCCCTGATCAGAGCAGAATGACCCGTTTGGATCTGATACTGACCTGTAGGTTGTGTTCTGAGAGGACTGAGACGCCAGAACAATTTTGCGATGGTAACCCTGCCCRATGACAGACTGAACGATTCCCTTTTTACAAGGTAAACCTTTGTTTTCCTGTTCCGACCCCTGCAAACATCAACACAGGTCAAGGTAAACATTCACAGAAAGCGGCAGCGAGATAAAAGTTCAAACACGAGCCGTGAWGAAGTGAGGAGGGACGTACGCCTTTGTTAGCAGAGATGCAGCACTCTGCGAGCCGCAGCCACAGCCGAGGGTTGGAGTGGTAAACCTGCACGGCCTCCATCAGGCACTCAAACGCAGCCAGAGGCCTGCCGATGTGCAGCAGCTGGATCCCACAGTTGTACAGCAGCTCGTAGCGCTTGTTGGACAGTAACGCACACATGGGGATGCCCGCAAACTTTTTAGCTACAGGATGAAGAAAACAAAGAGCTGAGTATTTTATACTGAGAGACAGGAGAAAACGTGTAAATGTTATGACTAATCTTAGAGGAACAAAGAGGATCCTGAGACCTACACTGCTCAGTGCTGCCGTCTCCCAGCTGAGCACAGGTGTGGTCGTTCTCCTGAAGAGCCTTCTTGAAGTAGAAGATTCCCAGGTTGTGTTTTCCCATGGCAAAGTGAATGCAACCCAGATTGTTCCAGAACATACATCGAACACATTCACCTGGACAAAACAGGTCAGGCTGATGAGGAGACTGTTCAACCAGCTCACAGAGAAACCAGAACCAGAAGGTGGTCCGGACTGGTCTGACAACGTCAGCAGCTCCCACCTGTCTTCATCGGTCCAGGATGTTCTGCGATGTTCGAGCTGTTCAGCAGCTTCACTGCTTTCCGGTAGTTTCCTCTCAGATACTCAAAGTTACTTTTCAAGAAGAGCGACGGTGCAGACTAAACGAGAGACAGACACCGGGTCAGAAACCAGGACAGAACACATACTGATCCTGCTCCAACACCTGTTCCACACCGAGCCAACAGAACCAACAGAGACATAAAGATGACCCAGATCTGTGGTTCTGGGCAGTTCCAGCTGGTACTCACGTTTCCTGCTGTATTCATCACTGATTTGATCTCTCTTTTACAGGCTTTGGAGGACTTCATCTGGATGTAGGCTCTCACTTTGTACTGAAATAAAAACATAAACAATCAGCCTGACGTTCTCTCATCTAACAGCTGATGTTCCATGATRAACAGAACCTACCTGGTGTATTTTAGATTTAGCTGCTTCAATCATGGCTGTGAATTCTGCTCTCTGATTGGCTGCTTCTTTGTTTGAACTGTTGCCCTGGAAACAGACAGGACCTGACAATTAATTAAAAAGCTCATTTCGGCTGCTTATATCCAGGATCTTGTTCTTTTTGTCACGATCCACGTCTCATGACCACAGGTGAGGGTTGGAACGTAGACAGACCAGTATTTTTTTCTCTCTCTCTGCTTGGCCTTCAGAGGAGTCGGACACTTTTTGCTCTCTCTCCCGAACATCCCTCTTTTCCCTGCTTTGCAGCTGGATCAAGCCTTTCTTCTACCTATCATTCAACAAYAAAAGAACTACAGATCTGGTCAACTGGTCTCTGAATGCTATTGATATCATTTTTTCCACTCTGAGAYTAGAGCGTGGGGAGCRCAGTTGTCCCAGTGGAACTGTCGGGGCCGTGAGTGTGTCAGGTAGCTGGGGGTGATATCTGATCTGCCTGGCACCTCTTTCCATTGAGGACGTCGAAGATGTTTTTACATTTGGATTTATGATAATCGGATTCCTGCTGATCGGCTGTGGAGGAGTTCTGGATTATCAGAAATTGAGAACGACACTGACAGCAGTCCGGGCCTGTGTGAAGCTGTCAGTGACCCTGGATGGGATCTCCTGTACGGCGAATGCACAGACTCAAATGATGGGGGCGTGGACCGGCTGTGGTCCCTGGACTTTGCTAGGACCGCAGCCCAGCAGCGTGTCTGTGAGGAATAAGGCAACATCTGGGTGAAGTTCATACGGGAGAGGCGAGATGGTAACGAATCTGGATTATTGGCATTTTCACAACCCAGAGACTCACTTAAGACTTTCTGAAGGTCTCTRATTTGGTCCAGGCACTCTGCCCTGGATTTCACCGGCTCATCTGCACCCCTTCCATATGTTTGTCCCCCCGCACCCTTCCCCTCCTTAGCTGCTCCTTTTGCAGAGTGTTTTTTTTTGTGCGCATGCTCGTGTGTGTGTGTGTTTTTCTTAAATAAAACACAGGATCAAAGCTCTTTTTTTTTTAAACTCATCCTTCCTATATGTGTGTATTCTAAACTGCAAGGCAGCGCACTACGTTGCGCAGGGCCCTGGACTTTCATTCCTACAGGTCTGTCATGTGTGTGTGTATCTCCGGACAAATGTTCTAAACTGCAATTTCGTTCTGCATTGCATCTTGATGTTGTGACAATAAATGCTTCTGATTCTGAAATCCAGAGCTTTGCCTTTCGACCCAGCTCTTTCTTCACCACAACTGGCCGAAGCAACGCCCTCTCTACTGAAGACGAGGCCACAATCCATCGATTCATCTCCCGCTCCATCCTACCATCACTCATGAACAACACAYCCAGATACTTAAACGCCTCCRCTTGAGGCARAGACTCCTTTCCTACAGTTAAMTAAATGTTTTATCTGAAAACTTCTTGATCTGAAGTCTTTAACCTTTTCCTGGGTCACATCAGGTGGTGGATTTAAGCTGCACCTTATACTTTTGGCCACCAGAGGGCACCATACATGACTGTTTTGATTCTACTAATGAACCTTTTTCCAAAACAAGCTTCATTTGGCCATCACTGTCAAAAGATACCAGAGTTTCTTAGAGCCAGCTTCATAAATTTCACAAGAGCTTCACAAAGCTCGTTACACTTCATTCACACACTGATGGTGGTGAGGCTACATTTTTATACCTGGATCACCCTGATATAAGAGGTTTCAGAGATATGACTTAATGTATCTTTTTAATCACAATAATACTTTTATATTTGGTTTAAATCCTATTTTTAGGATATTCTAATGAAAAACTATTGACGAAAAGAAGAAACCTCAAATAGTATTTAGATTTTGAGATTTCCCATCTGGAAAGAAACAAAAGCTTTTAGCTCAAAGGGAAAATATAAAAACAATTTATGGTGTTTTTGCTTAAAAACAGGTTTTTGTAGCTACTGCTCAAAAAAGTGCTTCAAAAAATTCTTTAGGATTATATTTCAGACAGTTCATTCAAATGATACATTGACAAGGCATTCATTAAATTATATTTTGACAAAAGGCAATTATTGCAAACGTTTTAATCAAAACACAAAATCTGCCCATTTCTCCACCACTTTGAGACTTGGTTCAATGTGATGGCTCACCAAGAGTTCCTCTGAACAGCCTTTAGCTGCTTCAACACAGAGTTAGCAGCTCTGACTGAAGCTATATTCATCCTCTGGCAACATTTATCATAAAAGRGTGTGACCTCATTATTAATACAGCCAAACATCTGATTCCACACATACAGGTACAAAGCTTTTACTAACTCTGTTAGCTTCTTTATTTTCTGTTTCGTTCTGACATTCAGATAGGCTGAAGGCTGAGGTGAACTGACTCTACTTTTTTGTTTAGTAAACACTGCTGCTGACCTCCTACTGACGTCACTGACCTTTAAATACACCAAGACAAATGTGAGGTTAGGCTTCAGAAGGGGTGAAGTACACCACAATCAAAAGGTAAGATGAAACGAGCCCGCTCACTGAGCAGAACAGTCACAGTGTAGCCCACCTCTCCTTTGCTGTTCTTGTTGCTTCCTTGTGCAGAGATTTTGTCCAGCACAGCCAGCAGGTGAAGAGCTTTCTCTGGCTGGAAGGTGAGCAGGTACAGATCCACCAACAGGAAGCACACMGCCTGGGCAAATTTCTCCTCTACAGAAAAAAACACAAGGACTTCACATTCAACATCAGCCCGAGGCAGGAATACAACCAAAATATTTAATATTACARCTGGAATAGTGTAAAGAAACAGGACGGTGGGTCAAAAATCAAAGATTAAAAAYCACTGAAGACCAAAATTCCAGAACCTATCAGTGAGTTTTAGCTTTCTGTTGAGCTCAAATCAAATTATTTTTGTTATTTTAACGGTCAAGCCTAAAACATCAATATTTTCCATCTTTATGTTTACGTAAACAAGAAACTCCAACAATACATGAGGAACAAAGGTTCATAACGTACCGAACGGTTCGAGGAACTGGTAGAGCTTCTCTCCGATGGAGATGGCCTCAGAGTACTGACGCATGTGATAGTGAATGATGGCCTGGTTATAGTACAGCAGGCAGTTCTCCACATCATCCAGACCRTCAGCATCCTCAGCTGATGTGTGAAGCTGAAATATAAAGAYGAGTCCAGCAGGTCAGAAACAAACAGAACCRTGCTGGAGGACAACGTGGAGCCATCGGCTGTTACCCGGTTTCTTATGGCCATCAGGGTCTGCTTCAGAGTCCCTGTAGTGGTCTGACCAGTCCTGAAGAACTCAGCCACAGCTTTATTCCTCACCATCTTGTAGTCGCCTTTGCTGAGCTCCTGCAGAGCTTCGAGGTGCTTCAGAGACTCGTCGTACCTCCCAGCCTGTGGAGAATAAACAACAAACTTTCACTCATCTGCAGGATTATTATTCCTGTGTTCGTTTAAAGATTCTCAGGGAGACGAGAGGATAACTGAACACAATAGACCAGGACTCAAAACTTTTCAAAAGTCATAGATAGGGGTGTAAATCACCAGTTTCGTCACAATATGATTTGTTTGGAAGACAATACGATGTTGATCGATATCGCAAATTCTGTCACAATTTAATTTTGATTCATTTCACAAGTCTGCAATCGATTTCAAGCGCTCATCTAGCATAAACGATTGCTTTAAAAAGGTATCATATCATGCTTTAAAATCCTTCTTTTTCACGTCTAATTCATTCACTTATGGTCTATTTAAAATAAAACTGCAACGCTTTGGTCTTAATTCCTTGTTTTTGTTGCTCCACAGACTCCTTGCTTTACTCCTGTTCTGAGTTGC